CTTGTGTTCAAAAAGAGATATTAAACCAACAACTAGAGTAAAAAAACTAGTTGACAAATGGGATGACTATTGTAAAAATAACCTTTTATATCACATTTGGCAGCCATTTCGTCCTCTTGTTGCTCGTTGGATTATTTGGTGTTTAAATATTTATCGCTTAAGAGAAGAATTAGCCTCTCACACTACTGTGGGGATTGTGGGCCTTAGTAACTCTGGGAAATCATGCCTTGTCAAAACACTTTTCAGACAAAAAGTAATGTAGAATGTAGAAGTAACGTATTTATTTTATACATTTTTATAGGTGGCAGTTGGTTCAACTAGCATGCAACGTACTACTGTCTCATTTCTGTATAACTTAGAGGGCATGGTTGATGGATTGAGTGTCATTGATTTTCCCGGAATAGATGATGGAGACAAAGGCACACTTCTTTCAAGACAATTATTATGTATCTCTCAATTAATTGTTTTTGTTATTGATTACAAGTGAGTCATGGTTAATTTTGATTATTTTACTTTGTTATAGGAGGTGGGAAACAGATGCTTCTTTCAAATGGATACAGTTTTTCAAAAATTTAGGAGTTCCCATTTTGATTTGCTTGAGTCATGCCGATAAGTTATATGCTAGTACATGCATTGGTGAAGATGGTACTGAAATTTGTTCCAAAGACCATGCCAAACGGATAATTCAGCAAGAACTAGAAGTTAGTGTTGCATAAAGCATTTGCTTGATTAATAAATTGAATCCTTATACAATGTACATGCATTAAAATTTACTAGTAATATTTTTTTAGAAAGTGAAAGAGAAGCTTATGCCATTACCAAACTGGCAAATGGGCTATTATTCTTTTTGTCAAGACAAAGATTCATCTCTTAATTGTGATCAAGGTCGTCAAGCTTTGTCCGATGTTGGAATCTTGTCATGCAATGATGTTGGAGCATGGATAGAAAAGGAATTACGTGAGTATTTGAAGGAAGAAGGCATTGCAGAGCGCTTAAAATTTTTCTTGGCATCTGAAAGTAGAAAAAGAGAATCTAGTTCTATGTCAGGTATGCAGGACACATTTTGGTATGCTTTAGGTTACTGTTGTTTTAGTTGAAAATCTTCAGGAAGATATAATTCAAGCCCAAGTTAATGATGAAGATAAAATAGAAGGTATTTTTGTGCATTTGTTGTATTCAATAGCACGACATACTAATGCCGTAATTATATAGGGTGGCATCAGATTCCTTTTAAAGCTTGTGAGGCAATTTTGTTGCTTCGGGATGCTTCATTTGGGTTTAGAACGTCATTTCACAATCTGTTAGCAGAGCTTCACATACCAACTGATCTCAAACAAAGCTTAAAGGACCAAGCAAGATATGATGGACATGATTATGAATTTGCCACAGAAAAGGCTATTGACTGGTGGATGGCGAACATAGGAAAATCATGGGAGCCTTTTTTTAATATTATAAAAAAATGTGAACCAGAAACTGCTCGAAAAATTGAAATGAAACTGAAAGACTAAAGTAGAGCTTGAGTTATTGATTTTATTATCTTTTATACATAATACTTGCACTGTATATATATCAAAATATTTATCATTGTTATATCATGTAATAATCTCAGTCATTTGTTTGCTTTGCAGTCTCGACATCATATTTGGGCATGACATACGTGGCTGTAACTACATGGGGCTCCAATAGCTTTACTGGGCCAACTGCTTGAACAGTATCATTTCATTGTT